GCAGGAAGCCTCTTATCAAAGACTGTCACCTGCAATATAATACCAACAATAATGATGCGGAGGGGGGGGGAGAATTTGAAGGAGCGTCTCCACCCCCATCGTTCTGCCTGGACACTGAGGTCCAGCTCCGAGGGCCTTCTGGTGGTTCCCTCACTGCGAGTAGCCAATTTACAGGGAAGCAGGCAGAGGGCCTTCTCAGTAGTGGCACCCGCCCTGTGGAACACCCTCCCACCAGATGTCAAAGAGAACAACAACTACCAGACTTTTAGAAGACATCTGAAGGCAGTCCTGTTTAGGGAAGCTTTTAATGTTTGATGCATTACTGTATTTTAATATTTTGTTGGAAGCCGCCCAGAGTGGCTGGGGAAGCCCAGCCAAATGGGCGGGGTATAAATAATAAATTGTTGTTGTTTGCCCAATCTAAGCCTCAATCCTATGCAGAAGTGCCAGCTTGGTTCTGCGACTGTGGGTGCCTGGGGTCGTGGGTGCCATGCAGTGTGCATGGCCCTGGTGCTGAAATTTGTGGGTGCCTGGCCTCTTCATGGGGAATCTTGTGGGTGCTAGAGCACCCAGGGAGCCAGCGGCTGTGATCCTATGCAAGCAAACGAGGGAAGTAAGCCTCATCAAACTCAATGGGATTTACCACCAAAGGAGTGAGCTGTACAAATCTACAGTGCATGTGGGTTACTGAAAAGAGACGGCTGCCCTCCCACCTCCTCTACAGCCCTGGCTGGAGTGCGATCAGCTTTTGATGGATCATGTGGCAAAACCTATAGCAGAGTTACACGGAGTGCAATAATGAGACAAAGGTATTTGCTTTGTCTCCTGCAGCAGCTGCCTGGGTGGTTTCTGTTCTGCGGATGAAACTGAGCAGCTTGCTGGTTTTTATCCAGTGGTGAATTAATGTGAGGAAATGATGGTTTTTAATGCTCAGATGCAGCACAGTGATATTTGCTGCTGTGCTGCTGCTACGCCGGAGACAGGAGAGGCTCTGCAGGGTGGTATAGAAAGGAGGCCGCTATCTGGTTCCCTGGAAAGTTGCCAATAACAGGGAGCTGTGTCTGAGACTGAACTACACCTGTGTCCAAACCAATTCCACAAGCTGAACAGAACCAGTGTGGTGTTGTGGTTAGAGTGCTGGACTAAGACCTGGGAGACCAGGGTTTGAATCTCCACTCAGCCAGGAAGCTCACTGGGTGGCCTTCCAGCCAACCTACTAACTTTTAGCCAACCTACTTCACATGGTTGTTGTGAGGATAAAAATGGGGAGGAGCAGAACCCTGTAAGCCACCTTGAGCTCTTTGGAGGAAAGGCGGGATATAAATGTAAATGGGTAAAACTAGCAAAGGATGTGCAAGTTACTTTACTCCCATCTCCCTCAATGCATTCAGGTGTGTACTCTAGTCAGTCAGAGATTATAGAATAGTCCTTTGACCCTTTGGCTTCAGGACCTGACTTCAGATAAGATGCTTAGTCACTGGTAGGTTGATCTATATACCAAAAAGTTATCCTGATGAGTTATCTACAGCTGTATCCATTGCTTTAGTGCAGTGGTGGTCCAGTGAAGATAACGGATCCTACCATGTGGCAGAGCAGCTCTCTGCTGAATCTGAAGCCCTATTAACACACCATTACAATGCTGAAACAAAATTTTTAAAATTCCTTCCAGTAGCACCTTAGAGACTTTGTCTGGAAGGAATTTTTTTATTTTGTTTCGACTACGGCAGACCAACACGGCTACCTACCCATTACAATGTTGTGCACAAAATTTGCAAGGGGATTCTAATGACAGTGGATGCATGGGTAGCAGTGGGCAAATCAGCTCTCAAGTCTATTGTTGTTGTTGTTGTTGTTGTTGTTGTTGTTGTTGTTGTTATTATTATTATTATTATTATTATTATTATTATTTATTGAATTTATTGAATTTATGCACCTCTCTATACCCGGAAGTTTCATATCAGAGCAAGTGTCTCCCCAAGCACACATGTTTAAGAGGCCCAGCCATAGAAGTTTTATAATCTCTCAATAAAATCTCACTTAAGCAAAGTAAACCTTAGGAAAAGTCTCGTAGATTTGCCAGTCAAAGCCTTGTCTGGGACACACTCTGTGTGCTGGGGCTGCACGTCTGGCTCGTCCCTGAACGTTAGCTTTGATTTCATCCCTGAATAACATAAATAAATAAAAACCCCGAAGCTCATTATTAATAATAGAGCAGTCCTGAAACAAGGAGCTGCACATCTCTGCTCTCTCAAAGTTCTTGCACAGCAGCAGCAGCAGGAGTTCAAAATGCTGTTGCTCCCATCTGTTTGTGTGCCAAGACCACAGAGGTAGGCCTCGAGCGAGAAGGAATGCTGCCTGGCAACGCTTTGAAGTTTGGCCTCAAATTTGGGTGACATTTTTTGTTGAGTTTAGTTTCTGTTTGCACTTTGGGGATGAAATAACCTTGAAATGTTTTAAATGTATACCCCATACATTCAGCTCTTATGAGCAAAGCCCCAAATCTGTATCACATAATAATAATAATAATAATAATAATAATAATAATAATAATAATAATTTATTATTTATACCCTGCCCATCTGGCTGGGTTTCCCCAGCCACTCTGAGCAGCTCTCAATTGAATATTAAAAACACTATTATACCCCACCATTTTTCTCAAGGTGATGTGCCTGGTTCTCCCCTTCCTCATTTAATCCCCACAAGAGCCCTGTGAGGTAGGTTAGTCACTTACTAGCCTAAGCTCACCCAGTGTGCTTCATGGCCAAGTGGGGATTTGAACACTCTGACCACTACACCACACTGCCTCTCTTATATTCCTGGGGTACCACATGGATACATTTAGGATGCAATCCTAAACTTGCTTGCTAGGGAGTAAGTCCTATTGAATACAACGGGGCTTACTTTTTAGTAAGCCTTCAAGGAATCATAGAATTGTAGCGTTAGAGGGGATCCCAAGGGTCATCTAGTGCAATCCCCTGCAATGCAAGAATCTCAACTAAAGCATCCATGACAGATGGCCATCTAACCTCTGCTTAAACCCCTCCAATGAAGGAGAGTCCACCACCTCCCGAGGGAGACCGATAAATAAATTGATTTTATTGATTTTCTTATATTTAGATCCCGCCATCATGGGGCCCAAAGTAGTGTACGTGTGGTCCCCATCTGAGCACTGACCAAACCCAGAGGTATGGGTGGTCACTTCAATTACCTTGGTGGCAACTGGCGACCGTTTGGGCTGGTAGGGTGTAAGGCAGAGAAACCAACGGCAAGTGGAGTCAATGCCAATGGCAGGCAGAGCTGGTTAATTCTATGTTATGCCCCTTTCCTGCTGAGTTTCCCAAGGGGCAACAGCAAGACTAGAGGAGGAAACTGGCAGGCAGCAACAGCCCCTGCTGTGGTTCTAACTAAGAAGGCAAGCAAGTAGGGGCTGGCTGAGGGCAGGTTGAGGTTGGTGGGGCGGTGCCACATTTGCCCTAATGGACTAGCCCATGGGTAGGCAAACTAAGGCCCAGGGACCGGATCCGGCCCATTCACCTTCTAAATCTGGCCTGCAGATGGTCCAGGAATCAGCATGTTTTTACATTTGTATGTGTCCTTTTATTTAAAATGCATCTCTGGGTTATTTATGGGGCCTTCCTGATGTTTTTACATGAGTAGAACGTGTGCTTTTATTTAAAATGCATCTCTGGGTTATTTGTGGGGCATTGGAATTCGTTCACACCACCCCCCAAATATAATCCGGCCCCCTCACAAAGTCTGAGACAGGGACCAGCCCCCTGCTGAAAAAGTTTGCTGACCCTTGGACTAGCCTCTCTGGGATTTCAATGTATCTCTTTCCCTAAACATGTGCAGGACCAGGACATTAAAATGGATGGATTATTGGTTGCGCATTTAGAGGAGGAAGGAGTTTCTCCCCAACCCTGCATATGAAATTACGCTCCTTCTCCAAGGTATTGGAACTTTGGACAGGAATCAATAGCCCTGCTTTTGTAAAGGCTTACAAACAGAATCAAAACACAATAAAGTCATAGCAGTCATAGGAAACAACTATTATTATTTTTTAATGTCAAACTGATGGGCCCAGCTCAAACTCGGTGGCTGCTGCTCCCACATTTTGGAACTCCTTCCCTAGAGAAGTTAGACTGGCCTCCCTTCTTATTGTTCTTCTGCTGGCAGGTTCCAACCTGCTTTGCTGAACTTCAGCTTTGCTGAACTAACTGCTTTGAATGAGGGGGCTAGTGCGGTGCTGTTTTTGTTGTGATTGTCTGCACATTTTCAATGCATCTTATATAGATTTAGTTTTAATTCTGATGTTCAATTGATTGTTTAATGATTGGTTCCTCCCCCTCCCCGGCGCACATGTTTTTTTAGCTATTATTTTATCTGTAAACTGCTTTGAGTCGCTGTTAGCGTAAAGACAGCGCATAAAACAACAACAACAGGCACTCACAATACACGCTTGCGGGGGCGTCCTTCTGCACACTTTTAGTACTTTGTCGGTATACACCGTGGCAGAACACAGCAAGATACAACAGGCGCTTTTAACTTGCCGATGTTCTAACCTCTGCCCCGCCCCCCGCTTTATATCCTCAGATCTCTCTCATATCTGGAGGACGACACTGTTGGCATAGGTAACACACGATCTTTTCTTTCCCCATTTAAAATGGGCAGTAGGGATGGCCAACGGGGCGCGGCAGTTGTTCACAGAGCCTGGTTGCTGCGGGACGAGACGAGCCCCCATGCGCGGGTGACAAGAGCTGCAGGTTCAAGAAAAACCCTCCCTCCTTCCTTTCTCTCTTCCCTTTCCACCTTGCCCCCTGCCCCGCCCCGCCCCGAAGGGGAATAGAGTTACTAGGCAGCTATTGAGTCCTTAGCGACGCCCGTCCCCGCTTCTCCCCCTCCTTTCCCTTCCACCCTCGTTTGGACCAATGGGAAGTGTTGGAAGGATGCGTGTCACAAAGGGCGAGGGCGGGATAGAAGCCTTGTGTGGGAGGGAAGAGCAGGAAGATGTTTCTCCCGGGCATTGGGGAGCAGCAGCCTGGGTATACTGGAGGCTCCCTCCCCTCCAGCCCGTCCTCTTCTCTTCCTCAGAGCTAACCTGCAGACAGGTGAGTAGCAGGTCTGGCAGCAGTAGGGCGAAGAAGAAGAAGAAGTCTACTAAGGAGCCACCAGCTTCCCAGAACACACAAACTGCCTGGGCAGGACACTTTGCCCCACTGCTCCCTGGCTGTTGCACACTGAGCAAAGAAGTAGTCGGAAGATGCTTACCTCACTTTAGGTGCAGGGCCAGTTATCCTCCAAGGAAGGATGGCTTCCTTGGAGACAGGGGGATGCATCTGCCTGTGGGAAAGGAGGCAAAGGGATGGAGAAACTGGTCAGGAGAAGCAGTCAAAAGAATGTGTTCTTGAGCCACCCCCAAATTAATAATAATCCACTGCACAGACCACAAAAGAGCCACTTACTGTCAATAGGTGGTAAGGATGCTGTAAAAAGGGGAGGGCAGAGGTGTGGAAAGTTATGGGAGGGAAAATAGGATATAGACATATGTAATATTAATTGGGAGCAGGGAGTGCTGGAAAACAGCTTTTCATTACCTTTATTGTCAAGTTTAGGTCATGAAGAAATGTAGAGGTGTGGGATTTAAGTAACAGAAGGAATATAATTTGCTTAGGTGGGAGAAGGATTTGCTGCCATGTGAACGTCTTCACCACTTTCTCCGTGTTATTCTGTTTCCAAGACCTAAATATGCACTGGATGTGACAATGAATAGATCTTAGTAGTGTGCCTGGAACAGAGTAGCAGAGTTCATTTTTTAAAGAAGAATCACGCCTCAGCAAAAGCACAATATAAGTGCAGACATTAATCCATTGCACAGTGGGTAGGATTGTGCTCTCATGCTTAGTAATAATAGTTGTAGTTGTAGCAGTATAGTTATTGTTATTTAGATATCTTAAGCCCATTCTGTTCCCAAATACTGTAATAAAATAATGTAAAAAATAAAAGACAAACTTTATCAGTGTAAGAACACATCCTCAGTCCGTGCCCAGTGGAAGAAAAATGCATGTTGGAGAAAGAGAAGTAATATTAATGAACTAGATAAAGGTTAAAGGGCAGCAGATAACACAGAACAGGTACAACAGGAAAATTACAGTGGATGAAATGTATTGGGAGAGTCTCCAATTTTCATCATTTCTGACCATTGGTCATGTTGGCTAAGGCTGATGCGTGTTGGAGTCCAGCAACAACTGAAGGGCCACAGGTTCCACATTCCCAGTTTAAAGGATGGAGTTAGCTTATTAGCAGGCGGTATGAGAGGGCTATTGCAGAGGGAACTGTGTGGTGGAAAGCCCTCAAGTAAACGTGAGAAAAATGCAAAGGGGCCACAACTGCACAGTAAGTTTTGTGAAGCAGTAAGGAGCCAGCACAGAATGGAATGGGATAAGAGTTCTCATAAAGAACTCATCCACTATGAGTACGTTAGAACCATTTGTCCTCTATGGGCTTGGAAGACAACCAAGAAAAAGCTGATGAAGGAAATATTTAGGTTGAAAATGAAGGTGTTTTCAAATAACCATCACCCTGCCTGATGAACTTAGAGAGGCATTGCTATATCCACAATCCACTCTTGTAACCAAAGTGAAGGTTACCTCCGCTGAATGGATTATTCTGTGTTTGTTACTGGATTGTGTATTATGTACGCTGAAATATTTACATTAGATAGCAATGCATATTAAATTTCCACTAGCATACAATTAGGTAAGTGAAAAAGACAATAGGCTGCAAGTCAGCTTGCGGTCACTTGAGCCAATAATCTCTCTGTGTGGTTACATTCTCCAAGGTGAGCTTTGAAGATAACTTCAGAAATGTTATTATGTTTTTTTCAAAAGACACTGTCAAAGAGCTCTCCTTGGGTGATCTCTTTTGCTAAGTATATTTGTTGCAAACTGGTCAAGATTACAGTTGGCTATGCTATGTTGACTTTCCTTTACTATGTCATCACCATCAGTCAGGGCCAACATTGCAGAACTTGATTTATATTTGTGGTGTACATATGATTTATATGTATATAAATAGTGGGTTTCCCCTGCTAGATATGTAGGCAGACTACTCAGAAAGAGCCCCTGTATTGGGATTTGCTTGCAAACGTCTCACTTCTGGGATTGTGAAAACAACTGCACATGCACTTTGACACAATGGGCCAGTGCAACTGGCTGTTAACTGGAAGGTTGGTGGTTTGAGCTCACCCAGGGATGGCTGTAGGCTGGATTCCTTCATTGCAGGTGGTGGGACCAGATGACCCTCAGGATCCCTTCCAACTCTTCTCTTCTATTATGATTCTAGGACATGGATTGTGCAAAGTAGATGTGGGAAAGAGAATCCATTTTGTACCAATTAGCCCTTGGAATTAGCCCAAAATACTGCAAACTATGTGTGGACATCCTTAAGAACAAGGTCCATCTCCTTCAGCATTCTGAATTGAGAAGCAGCTCTGGCTCCAGTTGCTGCACCTCAGCATTCCAGGGTGGGAAATAAAGAAAATCCCACATGCCTGAAACTTCCCCATCTCCCCTTACTTATATTGCTGTCAGGATGCTGTCAGCAGCTCCCAGCTGGTTGCCCAGGAAAGTATAAAGACAAGGAAAAGTTTCTTACAGTCCTTTTTTATTTCAATCTTTACAGAGAGAGGCTATAGAACCCAGCCTCTTGGATAATGGCGTTGGCATGAGTGAATCCCCACCTACCACCTCTCCCATTTACTCATTCGTCATCCTCATCATCTCCTCTATGGGTGCTGCTAAGTGCCCTCTGTCTTTGAGCTCTCTGCTCTCCTACTTTTAAGGCTCTCCGGGTTCTGGAAGATGGAGGGTCTGGAATGCTTTCTAATGACAACGTGTCAGCCAGGTGTTGGTCTGGCTCTCCCATGATTTCCCAACCTCCCCTCTCATCTGCCTCTGAGATGCAACCTCCCTCAAGCCCCTGTTGTAAATATATACTGTCTTCCTCTTCTTCCCCCCTGAAAGGGTCAGGATGGGGAGGTGGTCTCCACCATTCCTTCTCTGCCTAGTCCCTGACAACTGCACTCCCTTATCCTACCCCATTGCCCACAATTCCCTCATCTGCAATACTTACGCTTTGTCATTGCTGCATCTATTGTCATTGCCATTGATGCAGTGAGATAACTAGGTAAGAAAGTGACTCATTCAATAACACCTTGTGAACTTCATAGCTGAACGGGGATTTGAACCTGGGTTTCCCACAAACAAGTCTAATAACATGCTACAGTGGGGTCTGTAAGATGGCAGGTGTAAACCCCACTAATGAGACTAGTAAAATAGGCTTGTTAATTCAGTGTCCAAAAGCAAAAGAGGTGCTCTCTCTCTCCAGATTAGCCCATTGTTTTTCTATGAATTTGCATTAAAATTGGGTTCATCATGGGACTGACCACCTTGTTGCCATGAGAGCTGCAATGGAACTGGACCAGAGGTGTGTTTGTCCTCTTTGGAGAAGTTGTTTGTATGAAATGTACCACTTTCTGTTATACCAAGCAAAATGCTGCTATAGTTGGGTGCATAGTGGTAAGAAAAGCAATATATGGGGGTCATGGTTGCTTAGACACTCATAGACATGAACCCTCTCTAGACTACCTGCACAAGTGTTCATTAAATGTGTTTTATTTTTCTAGCTCTTCTTTGATATAGGAAACTTGGTTGGATAGACATTTACAATCATGGAGCTTGTAGGCTCTACCTTGACGGCAACATATGCCCATCCAAGACCAACGCCCTCAAATTTTCTGCCGGCCATCAGCACCATGGCATCGAGCTATAAGAACAGATTCCCTCACTATGCCCTGACCCACAGCTTGAGCCTTCCCTGGAGACCTAGTGCCTATTACAAAGTCGCTGCTATCACTCCAACTTTGGCCCCCTTCTCCAAGAGTTCTCAAGGGCTCACGCCATGCAACATGCTCCCCTATGTTTCCAACAGAACAGCACTCTTCACTAGGTACACTCCCGAAGACTGGTATAGAGCTAACCTAACAAATTTCAAGGAATCAGAGGCATCACGCCACAATGCCGAGAGGTTGAGGGTGGACACTTCCCGGATGATTCAAGACAAGGACCAGCAGATAAGGAAAACCCAAACGGAATCAACAAGAAATCTAGGAGAACGAGTCAATGACATCATATTTTGGAAATCAGAGCTCAACCATGAGATTGATGGAATGATTGGGGAGACAAATGCTCTTTCAGATATGAAGAAACGACTTGAAAGGGCCATATTAGAAACAGAAGGGCAACTCCAGGTAAACAGGCAGATGGTGATGATTATTATATTAATACCCCACCCATCTGGCTGGGTTGCAGTAATGCGCGGGTGGTGCTGTGGGTTAAACCACAGAGCCTAGGGCTTGCCGATCAGAAGGTCGGCGGTTCAAATCCCCGCAACAGGGTGAGCTCCCATTGCTCAGTCCCTGCTCCTGCCAACCTAGCAGTTTGAAAGCGTGTCAAAGTGCAAGTAGACAAATAGGTACCGCTCCGGCAGGAAGGTAAATGGCGTTTGCGTGCGCTGCTCTGGTTCACCAGAAGTGGCTTAGTCATGCTAGCCACATGACCTGGAAGCTGTATGCCTGCTCCCTCGGCCAGTAAGGCGAGATGAGTGCCGCAACCCCAGATTCGTCCGTGACTGAACCTAATGGTCAGGGGTCCCTTTACCTTTACCTTCAGACTACTAGGGGCCATGCAAACACAGCCATGCAAAACTCTGCTTAGGGTTCACCTGAACCCATTTGAGGTTATTAGGCAACGATCCAAATCATCAATATATGCTCTCTCTTTTGGCAAATGAGCACACCAGAGCTGTGTTAGGCTTAAGAAGCCTGCCTTTCAAACACTGGTACTCCTACTGCATCTATGGCTGGGCTTCGCGGCTGAAGTTCAAGCTGTGCATTTCATAGACATCTGAAGGCAGCCCTGTTTCTGGAAGCTTTTAATGTTTTATGTATTTTTCCTTTATATTTTGTTGGAAGCCGTCCAGAGAGGCTGGGGCAACCTAGCCAGATGGGCAAGGTGTTCTTGTAACAGTGATAAGTTACTGTTCTTGTTTTATTCCATAATATACTACTTTATACCACTTTACATGTTAAAAACAGAGAAAGATAACTTTCACCATTTCCCCCTGTAATGTCAAACAGGTAGCCCAGGAATGTCTGCTTCACCGAGAGAAGAGGATGGGCATTGACCTTGTTCATGATGATGTGGAAAAACAACTAATGACAGTGAGTTGCCCGTTTAGTACATAACATGAAATTTGTAGTTTTTAACTGTGGGCTAGTGGTATGTTGTATAGTAAGTAGCTTTGAACATATATGCAAGTGTTTGTTTATAGCAGGGTTGGGAAGCCTTTGTTCTGTGAGATGCCGTTGGACCTCCAATTCCCATCAGCTCCGGCCATCATGGCTAGTGGTCACATATGATGAGAGTTGTGGTCCAGCAGCATCTCTAGAGAACTGCAGGTTCCCCACTCCCAGTTTGTGCCCTGACCTTTAAAACAGGGGAGGTCTCGGAGTCTTAAATGTGGTCTGCACAAGGCCAAATTTAGGTTTGATGAGGCCCTAAGCTACTGAAGGTAATGGGGCCCTTTATATGTCCAGCTGTCCTTTGTCAACAACTAATTGTCAGTGTTTTTTGTTGTTGAATATATGCTATATGGTAATTTATGGACCTAATAGGTATATAAAGCCATTTTATTTGTTTTTTATCTTATATTTTGGAAATGCACATCCAGTTTTTTTCTTTAATTTTTTTGGTGCCCCCAAGAGAGTGGGGCCCTAAGCTATAGCTTGTTTAGCTTATACGTAAATCTGGCACTGGGTCTGAACGGTGCTTTCCTTGTCATCTCTTTCTCCAGCTGTTAACAATACTGTGGCAGAGAGGAGGAGCATTTCAGTGTACTTCACTTAAATGCTTGTCTTCAGGGTCAAGAGCAGGTACAGAATAAAAAAAGTCAGGAATGTCCACATCAAGCCTTTGCTGGCTACGCAGAGGTAACTTCAAACTGATACACATTAACCTCAGCCATTGAAAGTTGAGGAGTGGAGGCATATGAGAAATAAGCATGGAAATAAGTGTAGCATCCTATTACAAGGGATAAATGCCCAGCGAGTATATTGCTATAGTGCTGCATGTTGAAATATATTTTTAGTAGAGAGGCAACTAGTATGGAAATGGAAGATAGCAAAGTACTGACTAGGCAGTCCACCATCCGAATCAGTTCAGCAGCAGCCTGTCTGTGATTTATTTTTGTTCTTCCAGTAGTTCCTGGACAGTATTTAGGAACCTCGCTGGAGCCCAGTCAGGCAGGAAGAACAATTTTGTATTTATCAGTGCTAACCTGGATGTGCCTCCCAGCCTTGCTTTCCATGGTACATCCTGCCTCTTAGTCTTCCTGTACTGCACTGCCTTCTCTCCAGTGTTTACTTCTTCATCCACCACCACTAGTGTTCCTTGCCACATGAACTGTCTGCTTATCTTTCATTTTCTTCCTGTGACATCTTTTCCCTGTGATCTCTGATAAAGATTTGTCCTATAATTACTGATTCCCCTCAAACATATGGTACATGCATACAGTGCTAGTCCTGCTGAAGAGCATTGAGCTCAGATTCTGGATCAGGAACTTCTCAATGTAGCTCAGTTCTGGCCCACCCTTGCTGACTATTGAGGTGCTTCAGGTCTTCTGCATGGTGTTTCCTTCATCACAACATTTCCCGGCAACAGAGGTAATTGGGCAATGCAGAGTCCCTTCTCACAATGTTATTTTAAAATCCTGCGTCACCTCCCATGATCATCGATGGAAGATTTCACACTGACATCAATAACAGCAGCACCAGCCCATTTCCAAGCCATCAATGTTCCTGCCACTCTGTCCAGAACACAAATTTTGTTCCCTTAGAAATAGCACCGGCCAAGCCCTACTGTCATTTGTTCCAAGGTGCTTATTAGCTCATGAAAGCAAGCAACCTACAGCACAGCTGGATGCCACAAGCTATCTGGAGGATGCTGTCATCCAAAGGAAATAAGGAGTTTCCAATAGGGAGCGCCACATGGAAAAATCCAGTCCTTGGGAGCTGCCTGTTTCTTCATTTGCCAGAGCCAAGGCATGTGGGTATCAGGAGAGCTTCAGACATTAAATGTGTTTCTGGAAACCAAAGTCAAGCAAAATTGACTCTGGTTTGCTGAGAATGTATCACAGACAATTAGACAAATTCATAGACAATAAGGCTACCAAAGGCTACTAACCATGATGATGGTTCTACTCCCAATGTTGCAAGCAGTATGCTTCTAAATACCAGATGCTAGAAACCACAGAAGGGAAGAGTACTGCTGCACTCAGGTCCTGCTTGCAGGTTTCCTGGGAGCATCTGGTTGACTGCTGTAAAAATAGGATGCTGGACTAGATGGGCCAATAGCCTGATCCTACATAAGGACCGTTCTTATGTTCTTAAGTGGATAGTAAAGGAAGAAGCATGTGTGCAAGGTTCTCTACCCTGTACTAACCACCACTGCTCAGGACAGATCTATAGGCTAGTTTGCTCATTCACCTTTTGTAACAAACACTGGATTGGTTACAGTTTGGATTTCTTTGCACAGTCAAGAAATTGGCTATGCCCAATGTATTGAAAATGAGAAGCAGAATCACTTTCATCACTCCTGTTTTGGGGACCAAGCCTTCTGTATGAACAGATAGCAAATGGCCCATCTGTCTTGTCACATTAGTGTTAAAATTACTAGCCTTAATTTATATGTTGAATTTCTGGCAAGCTTCTCAAAGCAACTTACAACATTTATGCTCAGAGATATAATATATCCTGAAATGCAATTATTATACAATGTAAAGGGTGAAAAGAATTAAACATGGCAAGAGTTAAAATTAGAAAGCTCTAGTCAGTTATTATAAGGGACGCGGGTGGTACTGTGGTCTAAACAACTGAGCCTTAGGCTTGCCGATCAAAAGGTCAGCGGTTCGAATCCCAGCGACGGAGTGAGCTCCCATCCTGCCAACCTAGCAGTTCGAAAGCACGCCAAAAAGTGCAAGTAGATTAATAGGTACCACTCCGGCGGGAAGATAAACTGCATTTCTGTGTGCTGCTCTAGTTTCACCAGAAGCAGCTTAGTCATGCTGGCCACATGACCCGGAAAAACTGCGGAGCAGACAAACGCCGGCTCCCTTGGCCTGTAAAGCGAGATGACCTGTAAAGCGAGAACGCCGCAACCTCAAAGTTGTTCACAACTAGACTTAACTGTCATGGGGTACCTTTACCTTTACCTAGTCAGTTATTGCAAATATCAAGGGGGGGAACGGCTCTCCAGTCCAAAAGAATACTTCTGATGACTCAAATTATTCTGAGCATGCAGTGGTCTTAAGAAGACCTTGTATTACCAGTCTGCAAATTGAGACTTTTGCAGAAGGGAATTCCAAAATGTGAATCCCTGCAGTGCCCACCTACCAATCTGACCCAACAAATAGAAAGGAATTTTCGTTTGTCCTTTCCAAACAATCTTAAAAGAGAGGACCACTTACTCTTTTACTGGAACAGGGATAGCCAATGTGATGCCCTGCAGATGTTGCTGGATTCCAGCTCCCAGTTGCTCAGCCAGTATGTCCAATGGTCAGAGATGATACAGTTTTGTATTCCAGCAACAACTGGAGGCGCAACATTGATTACTCCCATGCTAATAGAATGGCAAACTACTAACCATCTTGAATTGCATTTTTCTTCCGATGCTTGAGGAGGCCATAAAGGAGTGGACTTTAAAACTGTAATTCACATTATCCTTCATTAATCAAGGGAAATGTTGACAGGATTTTTTGCTATTGTAACTTGATCAGGAGGTTGACGTCATCCTATCATGCCAAGAGAGAATGAGAAGATACCTGGGTAAGACAGCGGCCCAACTTGCGTAAGGAAAATTTTAATCTCCACCTTTCTCAAAAGATCTTTAAAAACAAATTTTGATGCAAGCACCTCATCCGTTTTCCCTGTAGTGCAACTTGAGGGGGAGAAAAGTCTCCAATATGCTTCTTGGCCTTTTCATTCAACAAGACCAGAAAGAAACCAAATGTCTGGGAGAGTTACAAAATTGCCTTCTAAACATACATACTAAAAGGCATATGTGCAAGAGTAAAGAGGACCCTGGAAGTTAGCTTTTTACCTAGGGGGATAATGGAAATTCCCTATGGGAGAACAGCTTGCCAAATCCAGTGTGCATACCACCTTATAGGAACAGGGAACTAAAAGAATGTGAAACTATGGTTTACAAAGCTGGCTTGGTTCCATTAACCATAGTGAAGATTAACCACAGTTTTAGGGTTCAGACATAACACTTAACTGTTTAATGGAAGCAGAAGCTTTTCATCTCTTCCATGTAGCCGTGCCAGAGGGGAAGGGGGGATGCACAAACCCAGGGCTCACGGGATTGTACTCATCACACTAAGCTTAGTTTTGCATGATGTCTGAATCCAGCCAATCAGAAGGGATAGATATAGCAGAGAGAAAGGCAAGGGAAATCAGGACAATAAATAATATCCAAAAGCCCAAAGAGCTACCCCGATAGCAGTGCACAGATTTGATCCAGATGTCTCTCCACATATACTGAACTTGTTAAGTTTTACAAGAGACATCTGCCACTCGTTGCTAAAGTGAACTGTTGAAAAAAGTGAAGTGCAAAAATACAATTTTTAAAAAATATTCATATCCTACTCCTAGGTGGGACTCCCAGTGGTCTCCCATCCAGATTACTGAAGCTTGTTTTACTTCAATATAAATCAGTTGATGTTCTCCTTCATCAGGCCCACATTTTAAAAAATGATATAGATACCATAAAATTAGTCAACAAGTTTTAACTATCTATCTTACAAAGTACAACATTTTCTAATTAAAAAATTCATGTTCTGGAGTGTTGGATTAGTGGTTAGATGTGGGTACACAGTGGGTACATATGTGTATGCACATCACATGTGTGCTTGTGCTTGTGCTTGTGCTTGCTGCAGCATTTGCAATTTCATCTGTGCCAAATATCCACCTACATGTAACTTTGGTATGGAATTGGCACTTTGGTGGAATTGAAATGTTTGGCTATATGATGGTGTAAAACAGGGGGAGAGGGGAGCCTCGGGTCTATGAGGGTGAATGCAGACCTCCAAGCCTCTCTATCTTGTCTTCTGGAGTCCCCCCACCACTCCTCAGCCGCCCACCCCTACTGACCAACTTTTGCACCCACCTGGAGCACTTCTTCCTGGCTTGTATGTATCCTTGCTCTCTGATAATGCTTCCCTGGATGGAGGACAGATAAGGCCGAGTGTAAAGATACCAGCCTACTGCACAAAGCTAACATTTACACTCATTGCTCTGTCAACCTTTGGCCCCACCCACCCATGGGCATGTGGCCCCCTGAAGGGAAAGTGGTCCTCAGTCTCAAGAAAGTTCCACACCCTTGCCATAAAGCCACTTCAAAGAGAACAATGTGCTTCTTTGGCTCAGCCCTAGTAATAATGTACGAAATCGTCTTTAGTTCTTCTGCCTGAATGGTCAGTGTCTGACCAGACACTGCATGAGATGTTAACTTCTTTACAGAAGATTTACTGTCTATAGAGAAACCATATCTATGTTCCAAGTGCAAAATGTGCTGTCTCTACAGGAGATGAATGCATGGTGTAAGGCCAGGAATATAACCTCTGGCTTGTGCCCTATTACACAAGTTGATGATGTATGCAGTCAGATCTGCCAATACAATACTGGAGTTCTTTATCATAGGAATGCCATAAACATGAAGTAAGGATTTAAAACTGAACATCTTACCATTGTCATGAAGGGGAAAAAATAGAAGGTTGAGAAGGTGGTCTTGGGGGTGTGTGTGTGGCTATTTATGTTGTAACCACTCAGGTTCTTTTCCCTTGAGCATCTTTTGACCCATTTTATTACAGAGCAAATAGAGCAGCCCAGCATGAACTGGAGAAAGACCTGAGTGACAAGCAAGCAGCTCAACGAATCGATGACAAGTGCCACCATCTCAGGAACACATCTGATGGCATTTCCTTTTATCGAGGCGTCGAGCGAGTCGATGCCACGTAAGTATCGCCTGGAGCTTGGCGTACAAGCACCAGATCTAGCTGCAGAAGGCATGCCAACAGAAACAAGAATTGTGCTACAGCAGACATTGGGCGATGTCAGGTTTCCTCTGATGATAACACATGTGTGTTTGAGCCCCAAACTAGTTTGGGAGCATAGAACTGTAGAGTTGGAAGGGACCCTGAGGATCATCTGGTTCAACCCAGGAATATGCAGCTGTCCCTTACAGGGATCGAACCTGCAACCTTGGTGTTATCAGCACCATGCTCTAACCATCTGAGCTGTCCTAAGCAATCCATCTGTTATTCACTCTGTTTCCAAAGATCAGGCTGTAAGTGCTGTTGCGTATGGCACAATCCATGCACAAGAGGGGAGGTATCAGTAGGCTTGGGATAGCCCCAGGTTTGCAGAAGGGTGGGGTGGAAGCTAAGGTGAGAGGTGAAGAAAACCTCAAGCAGCCCAATAAAAACTGAGCCTGCTCAGTAGCCACAGAATGCTGGCTGGCTGTTGCGGGTGTGGAGACAAAAAGTGGGTGGGAGGGGAAATGGAATGGAGACACAAATGCAACGTTAGTGTTTCTGGCTTCTTCTTCTTCTTCTTCTTCTTCTTCTTCTTCTTCTTCTTCTTCTTCTTCTTCTTCATTTAAACCCCTTTCCCTCCCTATTTCCCATCCCGAATTCCACAAGTAATCTAAAAAGATGCTCCAGAATTAGCATCCAGAAAATCTACTTAAAAGCAGTTACCGTACACTTGTTTAAAAACAAAACAAAAGTCCAACTAGTACTCGTGGAAATGTTAAAACATGCAATATATTGCAAATGTAGCTGGTATTCCTTCTGTATCCTCCAGGCTTTATTATTTCAGGAAGTCCCATGCAAACGATGTGTACAAACTCTTTTGTTTGTCTCTTTTTGTGCTTTCCCAGGATTTCTGTGCCAGAATCCTGGGCCAAGTTTACTGATGATAACATTATGCGCTCCCAGAGCGAGCGGGCTGCCTCCGGCAAACTCCGGGATGATATTGAAACGCTGCTTGTGACGACTGCCAATGAGATGTGGAACCAATTCAACAAAGTGAATGTCGCCTTTACCAACCGCATCTCTGAAACGGCTGATGCCAAAAACAAGATCCAGGCCCATCTGGCTAAGGTGGGATTCATTTCCAAACTTTCGGTTTGGGGTTAACTGCCTTCCCCTGCCTGCTTGCATGAATTGTCTGGAGCTAAGCCAATGTTGTGCCCCCCAGATGTGACTGGACTACAGCTCAAGGCATCCAAAACTGTCGGCTAGGCTGGCTGGGGTTGGTGGGAGTCTGCACATGATTGCAGGACTGCACGTGATTGGCTACTGTTGCTCTTCCTTGTGCCTATCAGCTTGTGGCACACACCACAGCCTTCTCCAACCTCCTGCAGATCTGCTACAAATCATTGATTCTATGTGCCCAGCATTGAAAGCATAATAACTTGCATAGGAATTGCATGATGCCTTCACAAGGCGTCCCCCACACCTGTGCAACAGTGTATACACACAGCAGCTAGGGCTGCAGTTCTGTAACCCTGAACAATAAGCTATCATTGTACTGAGCAATTTTGGGTGGGGAGTAAAAAGCCTAAATCCAACCTTTCCTCCACCAGCCCTCCAAAACATCAACATGATTCCTGCTTATTTTACAAGGCATGTTTCAAATGGATTTATGTTTTGTGTCCTATTTTATGGATTAAGGCAGCATTTGAGTGTGGCGTTGTCGTTAGAGTGTAGAATTGGGAAGATCTGGGTTAAAATCCGAACTCAGCCATGAAACTCAATGGGTGCTGTTTAGTCATTCCCTAGTTGTCAGACTAACCTATCTCACAGGGTGGTTCTGGGAATAAACTTGTTGTCTGGAGGGGGGGTGGATGTGTGCTGCTTGGTTAAATGTACACTTACCTGGGAGCAAGTCCCATTAAACTCAGTGGGGCTTAGACATCCACAGGATTGCATTTTTTATTACTTGAATTTCACTATAAAAAAACATTTTCCAGAACAGAAAGGAGTACTGTCCAGTCTGTTGAGGAGGTCTGCAATCTTCTGGCTCTCTGTATTAGCAGGGGCATCCAAATGGTACATTCTTATAGTTAAGTTGTGGATCTTTCTCCCACAATAAATAGGGACGACCACCAACTTACATGGCTTTGGAAGGGACTCAGGCAAATTGAGGGAGGATAAGTCTATCAATGGCTGATAGTCATTATGTCTATGGTTTATCTCCACTGTTGGACGCAGTATCCCAGTTGCTGATTAACAACAGCAGGAGAGGACTCTTATGATGGTGTCTTGCTTGTGGGCTTCCCACATGCATGTTTTTGGCTACTGTAAGAACAGGATGCTGGACTAGATGGGCCATTGGCCTGATCCAGATGGACTCTGACAGCTACATGCTGAAAATATATTTAAAGGGAGACAGCAACACTTGGTGAAGGTCCTCCCTTTTTCCCCTGGGTGAGCAAAGTGAGATAATGAATTGATGTGGCTTTTCTACAGTAATTAGATTGTTTAATCTCAGAAACATAGAGCTGGAAAGAGTCCATAGAGAGTTCATGCCTTGAAGAGGAACTCCTCCCCCACAACATGGGGGTTGTGGGAGAGTAGAAGAAGAGGGGGAAAAACATGTATTTTTAAGCCTCCAGTGTTGAAGATTCCATAGTCTCCAGGCAGCTTTTTCCATAGTAAATCTGTTATTGCAATTAAAAAGTTCTTCTTGAATGTTCAACATAAATCTTCTCTTTCATCCTTTCCTGAGAAGCACAATATTTGTTTTTTCTTGTTCCCCAGTCTTCTTTCTGGTCAGCTAAACATGCCATATTCTTTCACTCTGTCCTCAAAAGAACTCATCTCCAAGTTATGGGCATAGCCAGGATTTTTGTTAGTGGGTGCAGAACCTCAGATTTGTATTGAGGACAACAGATTGGGGCAGACTGTTCTATGCTGTATATTTCTTGAGATGAGTATCCTCATTATTCTTGGGGATCCACTGCTTTTAGAGAGTTATTCAAGGGGCTTTCAGATGGAAGACCATTGAGTCAATGAGTCACTGCACTAAGTCTGGGGAACTCTATTGAGTCAACACACCAGCTTCTGGATGGATTCAGGTTTTATTACAGAAGTGCAATAATAATAAAACATGCAGTGGGGGAAATCTCTACTAATGTACATTCTGTATTTAAGACAGGAAGACATTTGTTGTTGGGTTTTCAAACCCCTTATTCCTCCAACTTGCAGACTCTACAAGAAATCTTTGAGACAGAGATGACTATAGAAGCACTTCGTAAGGCCATCAAGGACAAAGGGTGTTCCTTGAAGGTTGCCCAAACACGTCTGGATGAGCGCTTGCGTAGACCCAACATAGAACTCTGCCGGGACTCTGCCCAATTACGGTAAGCAAAGGCAGCCATCTTGCTTCATTGTGGGGAAGGCAGGAATGTGATGCTGTTTGATGAGTCTCATAAATTGCTACAGCCTTCCATGCCCTTTGAAAATAGGAACATAGGAATCAGCCACATACTACAGTACAGGCAAATTGTTCATCTTACCCAGTATTGTATCTTCTGACAGACAGTGGCACTCCAAGAGATCTTTCCCATCACTTCATCCTTTTAACTGCAGGCACCAGAAACTAAACTTGTGGCATCCTGCATGCAGAACATGTGCTCTGCCACTGAGCTGCAGTCCCTCCCTTGAGTAACCAGCCCTACCAGCTCTCCTTTGATGTCTACAGTCTTTTATGCCTAGAGGCATCAAGGGTCCAGCGACACATTTGGATGAACCGCATTCATAAATCATCCGCAGATGAATTAGCTCCCTGGGCTTATGGTAATAGTGCAATGACCTTCCGCAAGGCCTTTGTACCTTCTCAGGAAACTTGTTGGAATACTTTCCTCCTTCCTCTGCTGGAAACAAAGCACTGAAACAAATTCTCCATCTGCTCTGGTGTGGTCTTGGGCCTTTATGACTGTCCCCTGCCATGCAATGTTGAAGGTGTCGTCAGTGCTCACCAATATCAACAGGAACTTCAATCACACATCTCTTCGCATGAGATGGGTCCTATTGCTAAGAATTAAAATGCTAGATTGTTTTGTGTTTGTTTTCTGAAAACAACTAATCCTTTTGGACAGATGATGAAGGAATATATTTACTCACATCATCTGTGAAAGCCAGAATATTTTCCTGCAGAAGTCCAGTTTGGTCCTGGGCCAAACAAGATGTAATGCACGTAATTCCATGCAGTGTTACCCCAACAACCCTTGCTTTAAACAGTAAATGCTGCTTCTGGGGAGAGACATGACTGGGATTGGATCAATGGTAGAGACTGAGAGGGGTGCTTAGGCTTTTCCAGACCAGTGATTTTGCAGCTTTTCTTTTTGTTATATGCACTTGTATGTCACCTCTAAATTAACCCTTATATCTCCACTTGCCATTAATTCAGCCAGCAAAGACTAGTCCTCTGAACTTAATTGTCTATTTCAGGCATAGGCAAACTTGGCCCTCCAGATGTTTTGGGACTACAACCCATGACCCCTAGCTGACAGGATCACTGGTCAGGGATGATGGGAGTTGTAGTCGCAAAACAGTTGGAGGGCTGAGTTTGCCTATGCCTGGTCTATTTCATCACATTTTGTGTGTGTGTTTGTGCACAGACCAGGAAGATATTAATTGGACCCAAACTCTGCAATTGATGTTGGGAGACACATAGGGTTAGATCCTGTCTAAGGCTGCACATCCACCTTCTTTCCCCTATTTTGATGGCTAAGTGATGGTAGTTAGGATGCAGTGCAGTTACCCCTCTACCAGCTAGATAAAAGCACAGCTCCAAATGGAACAACACTGCTGGAGCTGACGCAGCAAAAAGAGGGGGGGGTGCCCCACCTTAACATTTCTGCACTTTCCTAACCCTTCCTAGAGTTGCTCTTCTAGCTGCAAAGATTTATGTTAACTTCCTTAGTGGATTTAAGTGAGGCCTGTGAGCATCTAACTTATTCTGGATCTAACCCACAGCCAGAAGATGCAAGCGCATATTCAGGTTATCCTGACTTTCTGACTGGTTAGGTATTGTGAATGAATTCTAGATCAGCTGGTTCCATCTTATATAGCAGTAACAAAGAACGACTGTTTCTTCTTGCACATTTCCTCTGACCTCCTTGGACCGGCCACAGCTGGAGACAGGAAACAGGGCTAAATGGATTGTTCGTCTAAACCAACATTGGTATTCTAAGGTTCACTAACTGGAAACAAATGGGCCTCACCTTAGAGTGCCCCCTTGGCACACTGAGTGCTTTTATTTACCTTTCATTTATTCACCACTCTTTAATTTGTGAATTCTGCTGGGTTTTGCCTACTCACATTAGTTGTCAGAGGAATGTGAACCCCATAAAAAACACACACTGACAAACCAGAATGCCAAAATGAGAACAGGAAACCACAGCTTTCCATTCTTTCTTTTTTTCCTCTTTCCCCCCTAAGTGGTACAGCCTGTCGCATGGACTTATTCCGTAATTCACTCTAAAGTTTTGTCTTGCTCATTTCATGGGGGAAAGGACTATTTACGACTTTGCTAAAAAGTACTGTGCTCGCTCCCTAATGGAAAGAGAGCCTGCTGAGCTCTATCCTGAGCAAGGAGATCACAACTATTTTATTTTGTATTGGATGCCACCAAGAAGCAGACGGAAGATTCACTAGCCAACCCCTCCAGGGGTTGTTGAATTACAGCTCCCATCACCCCTGACCACTGGCCATGCTGATTGGGGATTTGGAGTCCAACAACATCTGGAGGGTACCAGTGTGGCTAGAAACATGGAAGGAGGACTCCCTAGAAAAATGGAAAGCGGAGAACTTGCTAACATTCTTTCTTATGTTCCATGCAGCCTTGTGAACGAAGTGTATGAAATTGATGACACCATCCAGGACCTTCAGCAGAGGCTAAGAGATGCAGAAGATACGCTCCAGGCACTGGTTCACACCAAAGCCAATCTAGAACATGACCTGGCTGTCAAAGCAAATACACTCTTCATTGACCAGGAGAAATGCATGGGGATGAGGAAGACCTTCCCCAACACACTGAGGCTGGTGGGATATACATAGGCTGGAGCTAACCCTCAAGACATTGTGTGGGGGGATGGGAAATTACTAAAGAAGTATGTCTAGGGGAGGTTTGCTCTGTTGCACTTTTATGAAATTTTGAGGTGTTTATTTTTGAAGATATGACTATATTTTCATTTATTAAAGCATGATCTGCACACAAATTTAGCTATCTTCTATTTGATGTGTCTTCCCTGTTTTCTATACTGATGTTCTTTCCTTTATGGGATCTGCATGCACACAATGTTTATTGTGGGTGGCCTATGTCATGCAGTCCAATCCAATGCATGTTTTTACTTGGCAGTAAGCCCCAATGAGTTCGATGAAGCTTACTCCCAAGTAAGTGAGCATAGGATTGTGTCTTATGCCCTGATCAAATACAAAGAAAAGTGTGTGCAGAAGGGCAACTGCGTGCCTCTTTCCTTGAGTTGAGAGCTTGATTCTGAAGCTAGTCTGTTAGTATTCAGAACTGCCAATTGTCTGTTCATGGAGTGGACTGAGGAAGGGAGACTGAATCCAGCCTTATGTGCTCCCTTCCCTCCACCCAAGCAAATGATGGATTCTGAACACAGATTATCTGATTATTTTTTGTGTTTGTGCAGCGCAAGCTCCTGGACCAGACAGAGCCAGATCTTATTCTTGTCATCTCAGCCTAAAATTTTAGGCATCTCAAATTGCAAAATTCCTTTGTTTTATTTGAATGGGGTAGATGGCACAAAGGTGTCTGAATTTTTTTAGCAATTAGTGTCATTCGGTGCTGATATATATTTTGTATTTTTAGGTACGTGGAAAGATAAGCATGAATGATGTGACATCAAATAAAGAAACTTCCCAATATATACCGTCCTAAGCTATCAGACTTTTATGTCTATGTTTATCTTCATCATTTTCCTCACTCTAAGGAAATTTCTGCATGTCTGGTGTAATATTGTTATAACACTGTCTGTGCACCACCACACAGCAGAAGCATGTGCTTCAGTGACTGATGATACCTGGCAGCTCATCAGCACAGCCACCAAGGTAAATTTAGCAAAACATCAGCTTGGTTCCTCATGGAAACATTTTGCACTTACTATGTTGGCATAAACAATGAGGCATCTCAGAAAGGAGCTGAAGATATAACAGACTGACCCATCCTATTTTAAAAACAGTAAGCCCTTTCCATATGAGCTTACAAGCCCAGCTCGTTTGGAGAGTGCAGCCAGAGTTATTTTGGTGGATTTGGATAGATACATTTGAAACTTAAAGGCTTCCACTTATAAATCCACCCTCTGTAATTAGAAATCGCCAACAAATCCCTTGATTCCCAAATGGGCCTATAATGAGTATAGCATTCTGAAGGCTGCTGTCAGGCAAAGTAGCTAGGTTCTGTTGGGTTCTCAATAAGTCACTTCTTTCTTGCGGAGAAAATTCAAACAGCTCATATGTTGTTACACCTGCATATACTGGGCTCTATTCTGTGGGCACCACTTGCCACAATATGTCCAACAGCATGTCTATCTGGTGCTATTTTTCTGGAAAAGGGGGTGCCAGAGCTCACTATGAATGCCTCCCATGTTCTCTTATAATGACCATGGTGCCCACCTGAGAGGTGCTGGAACTGAGTTCCAGTGAGTTCTGACTGGAATAAAAAGTCCTGTATCTGTCTTATCCATCTATAAGGGACTTGGGGCCAAGGATGGAGCAGTTGGGTTCCCATTGCCCACTGCACTGAGTAAACACATTTCCATGTACACATTTCTGCTTTTCCACTTCTTGGCTGAAATCTCAGGTGGTTTTTCTTTTCAATGGGATTACCAAGCTCCAACCCTAGAACAGCCACAAATGTTTATTTACGGTAGTTGTCTAGTCTGAAGACGCCTCTGTTGTTTATTGCCTCTTGTTGTCTCTCTGGCGCCATGCCAAAGCACTGCCCTTGGCAAGATCCTGTCCTACAATTTTTGCATTTTGGCAGAGTGTCCTATCGGGACAGCAGGTCCAAACAGGAAGTAATTATTCTTGGTGACCTTTTGCACCAGCAGTTGGATCTCCTGTCGACTAAATATAGCCTCCCTCTGTTTTATACATAACTTCAGGGCTTGTTCATATTGAAGGCAGATTTTTAAGGCTGTTTGGCCCAATATTCCATGTCCTTCTTTGGATTAAGATCTTCCTACTACCTCTTTGTCTACATACACACCATACATTTAAAACACATTTAAAGTGCACCTCTCTCCCCTCACCCACAATGAATCCTGGGAAACTGTGGTGTTTAAGAGCGCTAGGAATTGTGGTCCCATGACAGGTACCCAGGATTTATTTTTTATTTTTTTGAGGGAATGTGCTTTAAATGTATGGTGTGTATTCAGCCTTTGCTTGTCCTTTTAGAATCTCTTGCCTACACAGAAATAAATTTAAGACCACTCTAATCCGTTTAGACCTTTAACTTTCCTGGTAACTGATATTACAGGAGCAATATGTGGCAGTGTTCCTTTTTGTTTGTTTGTTTTGGACAGGGATGTGGTTTTTTAACTGACATTTCCTAAGCTCAGGAATTTCAGGCATTGCTACTGCTTTGGGGACCAGGGCTCCCAAATTTAGCATGGCCAAGTTGCTAAATGTTTCCATTCTTGTGGGCAGCAGAAAGATATGTAAGGAAGCCATCTGAAAAGAAAGATAGGGCTCCTGTAATTATTTAGAAGAGGGAACATCAGCAGGTATAATCGGATGAAATTCCCTCTTAGGGCAGTTCCAGACGACTTGTTTATTGAGTATTCATCCTATTTGATTGCAGAGGGTTTGGATGATGTTGGCTATTTAATGAGCATTCATTCTGATTAGTTGGCAGGGAGGCTAGACAGAACTTAGGTCAAAGCAAGTGTTGTCCCACACTTTTCTACTGCATTCTTTCTGTTGATTCCCTTATCAGAACAGCCTGATCTTTTGGGGGTCACAAGTTTGTTGCCCGAGGCCTCCCAGGTTGGGCAACCTGAATTTGCTGGTGTGTGATTGAATCCCACCTGAAAACAGTGACATTATGGAAGTGCTGTTATTATTCAGCTATAAATGGCACAGGAAACTTCTGCTTCTGGCTATCTTAAAGACTTGGGGCGGAGTGAGAGAAAAAGAAAGGAAATGTGAGAAAGAGTGGGGGGAAGGGAGGAAGGAAGGAAGGGGGAGAGAGAGAGAGAGAGAGAGAGAGATGGCTCTGGCCCTGCCTTCATCTAGCATGCCTCCCACTCTATTACCTACCCATAAGGAAATGAAGCAAAAGGTTCCCCAGCTTATTCTACTTTCTAGGGAAAATTGCAGTTTAAGAAGCAAGCAGTCCCTCGCAAGGTGAGAGGAGGATGTCGGGGGTGAGAACTGCTGCTCAGTCTGATTGAGCAGCTGTAAACACAAACAGATGGCAAAGATCATTTTTATTTGAAGACCGCTGAATTTCTCTGGGACTAGTTTATTATTTATTTATTTGCAAATTGAACAATACACATAAAAAACCCACATTGTTCTTAATACAAGAAAAAAGAGCAAAAAAAAAAAAAATACCAGAAAAGCCATAACAAAAAGAAAAAAAATACATGAACAATCTTGTCCAGTACATACAGTTATTTAATGAGTACAAACCATCATCAATAATTTTATAAACATCTATTTCCAGTAAGAACTCATTTTGTCTTCTTATCTTTTTTATCCTCAGTACTCTCACTTCCTTTTCTGTAACTGATTTCTGGTTTGTTGCCTTGATTTATTTGATTTATTTGATGACTTCCTTCTAACCCTATGCGGTTCCTAATCTCTCATATCTTAATTTATCTGGATCAATTTTAAATCTGTGGAGAACCATCTTGTTTCGCCCTACATCTTCAAAGGAAACTGACCCTACAAGTCTCACCAGCACTCTGGAAAGGGGGTGCACAACAACAGCAAGATCTCTTTCCCTGGAAAACATGTTCAAGCGAGAGCCATAGCTCAGTAGTAAGACACATGCTCTGAAGGCAGAAGATCCCAGGTTCATTCCCTGAACTCTCTGGGTACAGCTTGGTATGACTCTTGTTTAATATGCAGGAGAGCTGCTAGGCATTCATTGTAGCCAGTGCTTTTTTCTAGAAAAATAGGTTCTGGAACTCACCATGAAGTTGTTACAGTAAGTGCCAAAGCTTTTTAAGAAAAAGAGGTTCCGGTGCTGTGTACTCTGGAGTACTAAAATATACTCGGAGTCCTGTAGTGATTTCATGCTCTTTATTGCAGCTTGTAAAACAGTGATTGAATTGCCCCCCAAACCTCAGGCTTTTATATACATTATTTACACAATGAGTCCCGTCTGACTGGCTGATTCTGCTTCCCTCCTGGAGCCTGATTGGTCTTTTCCTGCAGGCCAATCAGTTGTTGCATTCTAGGATCCTTACCAGCCTGGTGCTCTAGGATCCAAGCTTAGTACATAACAGGTACCCCCTGAAAAAAAGTACTGATTGTAACATGGGGATGGGATGGAGAGGTAGATAAAAATTTGATGGTACAACTACCAGAATGCCCTGTCCCTGTTCTCAGCTTGGAATGTCAGCCTGTTTGGCATTTTCAATATGGCAGCATTTGTCCACCATGCTTGTTTAAACATTCTGCATTGCACTGCTTTCAAATTCACTTCTGCTTTTTTTTGCAACCTCTCCGATGCTTCAGCAAAGTATGCCCTGCCTCCTTTCTCCAGCAGATGCTTCATCCATTATAAAAATCCACCTATTCCTTGGGGAATTCCACATTCTTTCCAACCCGAGTCTCTTCCTCTAGCTCTGGCCATTCCCTTAAAGAATAAATCATAACCGTCTAGTCTTTACTTTTTCCTTGCATTCATACTTTCAGTGAAACTTCATGCTGACCTTGCTGTGAGCTGGTGTCAGTCTTGCTTCAACATGTCATGCCCATTTACTGAATTACTGCAAAGTTTCAAGCGGGTTGTGGGATCAAACAGTGGCATGATTGCAGGAGCGACTGACTACAGTTCGCATTGTGAATGATTCCAGGCTAGGCTCCTGAGTTGACCTTCTGTGAACAAGAGTGCTCCTTCCATTCGTGGAAGTGATTCGGATCCAATGGAAAGTCCTCTGCCGCCTTCTAAGGCAGTCCTCCCACCACAACCCCCAGGGATATCTTCCACATTGTTTTGCAGGCTCCCCTACAACACTCCTGAGGAGGTTTTTTATGGGCACAACAGGCTTCTGGGGGAAGGAGGAAACTGAGTTTTCAGTGGGGATTTTCTACTAATGGGAATTTTGAATCCAAGCCACTAGCATTTTTTGACACCAGCAGTCACATCCCAGATAAGGAAGGCACATGTCTGATAGTTAACTATAGTCAAGAGAAACACAGAAGCTTCCATGGTGCTCCAGATACACACACACACACACACACACACACACACACACACACACACTTACAGCATCTAAGCTGCTGTCCACAGGTCTAGACCCTTTGAAACAGTTGCAGCAATTGGGAGACCCCACCCCTCTGTCGTCTTATATACACTTCCCACTTCAAGACCCTCCTTGTTTAGGAGACAGTGGGGCAGGGCCAAGTGGGGAATCTATGAACTCATCCCCTGCCTGAACTTTCCCTTCAGCTTCCGTCATGTCCTGCATGCCTTCCTATGCCTCAAACTGCCCTGAATTTTCCTCTCCCTCTGGCTCTTGCAGGTGTTGTCGCATCCCATAAATCACAGGTCCCATCTCCTGGGTCACTCTTCTGGTCCCCTGCCTCTGTCCCTAAAACTCAAGGTCTGTGTCCAGTTCTGGGCACCACAATTTAAGAAGGATATTGATAAGCTGGAAGATGTGCAGAGGAGGGCAACTGTTATGTACTAAGC